TGTAGTGGGGAATTTCGGGCGAGCGCTGCAGGTCTGCCGTCCTGGAAGTTGTAGGGTGCCCCTCGTAGTAGTGATCTACAAATCCACGCAAACAGAATGCCCGTTCATCTCGAAACCGGCAGAGCTTGGGAGACGAACTTGCAACCCTTTGGTTACCAGTTCAGGTATTGCTGGAGCGCTTTGTTTGCAAGCCCAAACACCAAGCAGTCATATCTATTGTATTACTTATGCATGGTTTTACGTGATATCTCATATTATTTTTAATAGTTTAGGGGATGCAGGCTACCCCCTGCAGCCATGGCTGATGACGCCATTTCGCAAGCCGAAGGAGGAAGAGGGCGAAGAAGCCTACAACATGTGCCTCATCAAGACGCGTCAAGTTATAGAGAGGACATTCGGGATATTGAAGTCCCGCTTCCGGTTAGTAGCGTCAGCAGAGTCTGAGTTTGGGAGTTAAAACTTGTTCTGAAATTTCCTCAGAACTACCTTCTCTCCTTTCTGCATGTGCGGCATAAAACAAAAACAGTTCTTTTTTTTTGTCCCTATTTTATTTCTCTACCCTCATGCTAAAAGGGTGCTGTTAACACTGTTCCCACTTGGAGACCAAAAAACTAGTTGGAGCTAGGCACATATCAAGGGAGAAGGCCCAGGTAGCCTGATCTGGGTCCTCTTCAAAGTCCTCCAGTTTTGCTGGCACCTCCCCTTTCCCCTCCTTTACCCGCCTGGCTATGTGCCTGGCTGTAGCAGACTCCCCATAAAGGCTATCTTGGAAGAGGAATTCGGTTTCCAGCATCGTGCAGTACTAGCTGGAATCCGAGAACATATAGTGTTGCTTCAGCATGTTAGACAGCCATACTTATGATCGCTCCTCTTCGTCTGACAGTTCAGTGAAAGTTGCATAATGACTGGGCCTGACCTGTTCTTGACTTTGGTGCCCTTGGATTGTACCTCAGCACAACATATACGCTGAAAGTGGGATCACACAAAGTATGAACTACGGTATAGTCAAATTGGAAATGCAGGCAATGGGGGGAACGCATATAAAAGCAGGGACTTCGAGGAGCAGTAAATAGACAGGAGTGCCAAAGGGTTCTGGGGGCTGCATAAACTTCATATAGTCATCACTAACAGTAAATACTGAATTAACAAAATTCGTTTCTACGCCACTGCTTCAGGTGTCTCGACAGGTCCGGAGGGGTCCTGCAGTACACCCCAAGCGTGTGCTGCCATATTATTGTGGTGTGTGTGGTCCTCCAAAATTACTGCATCCGGCACCATGTCTCCCTCACAGATCCACCAGGTAAGAAAGACATGTTCTCTGAAGAGTTCATGCATTAATTACCTGGTCATATCACATGAATAAGGCTGGTGAAAGCATTGTTTGCTGTAACTTTGGACTTGGGTTACTTGGGTTCTGCAGAAGGTTCACCCACTTTTCTTGTCACAGGATTGCAGAGGGGCAGCTAAGCTGAGTTGACTACAGCTTTGACTATAATCTGTTTTAGAAGCTCTCCACCGGCAGAATAGTTTTAGGTTTAGTAACCCATAAAGTGCCACGTTACAAGATTTGTTACGTGACGCTTAACAAGTTACCAAAGAAACGGCCGTAGCTGCGGAGTAGTGCGTACGCTGTGCTTTTTCGCAAAGTGACACTGCTCTATATGAAATGGATAAGGCTCATTTAACCCATATGATTGATGTTTTCCAGGACAGAATTGTCAGTCATCTCGAGACTCGCCGAACTCGGATAGCAATGTATTTTCTAGATTCGGGGGCAGTTCCAGTGGGATGAAAATGATTCTCAATGCCTCTGTAGAGGATGCCCGTGAATTACAATGGTGGAACAAGACCATTTTTTGTCACTAGCTGCCAGACTGCACAGGCGGAGGCCAGCAAGATACTTTGGAGTGGACGTTTCAGCTGCCATGGGGCCACATTTTTCAAACATACAGTGTACAGACGACTAAATGAGCCCGGCTTTTAGACTCGTAGGCCTGCGAGATACTTCTGTTAGCTGGAACTCTTTGAATAGTCGGTGCAGCCTGATGGAACAGTCATTACTCTTAAATTTTGAGCCTGATTGAGTATACGCAAACTCATCTCTGTTACGTCACGGCGTGGGGGTGGCGCGCCGGGCGCACTTCCGGTCTGAAGCTGTCGGCGGAAGTCCCCATGTCAGACGTGTATTCCTGCATTGTTTTGGAAGGAACCCGACAAAAAAAAAACCTGCCTTCTCGTCAAAATGCCGCGACTGGGGTTGTACCAAAATAGTCGAGAAAGGTTTAAAGGTAAATTTTCATGTACTCGGTTCGTCCGAGAACGTGGAAATGTGCCGTGAAAAGGGAAAACCAGATGCCGTCGGACCACGATTGCTTGGGCGGGTAGCACTTTGGGTTGAATTCACGAATACTTGTGGTCATCAGATTTATGTGTTTTGTTCCAACATGAACGCCTGAAAACCGTCATGTTGTACTGACCACCTGCAAACTACGTTCAGTGCGTCTTCAAGTTCAAACGGCCGCCTGATCGTTCGAATTGTCGTCTGCTCTTTCAAACGATTCTGCTTGTCTTCTGCTCTTTTAGACTACACCGGCTCGTAGACCAAATATTGGTCCCGTACTTGCGATAAGAAGTAAGTGAAGACCTCAAAAAAATCGAGTTTGGAGGTTGGTAAGCAGTCTTGATGTAAACAGTAGATACAAGGAGATATTGATTAATTGTTACCAGTGGCCATCACCGACTTGTTATGCCTGATTCACTTGGTCCGATTCTGCTTGCGATTTTCAGTATCGAAGTCGACCATCTCAGCTACGGTTCACACTTTCGCAGCCCGAGCGACGTCGTGACTGAAAATTGCGAGCGAAATCTCATCATTCGAATCAGGCCTTGGCGTACGTTCTGTGGCGTCTGCGCAGAATGAATCGCCGCATGTCACATTATTCATGCAACGTTTTACGGTGTAACGAGCCTCGGTAATTTCTCTGAGGCCGCTCAAGTAGTCAGACATCGCCAGGAGGACATAGAACCAACCATTCGAACGCGAAAAAGGGCTGGGGGACTCACACCGACGCCGACAACATTGCATTTCAATGGTTTGTTTATGGGTGACGGTGAGCTTCTTGGCCACACTCCATCGCGCAAGTGTTGCGTCGGTGGCGTCTGCTAGGGGCACTCCGGTTTGTTTGTAAACATGAGTTGGTGTATATATGAAACGGAACTTTGAGGTAAGCCTGCCCTTTCTGGTGGTGGGTACAATGTTGTGGTTGAGCCATTGATGCTAGCAAGTGGAAGCGGCGGTTTTAGTCGCCTGCCTTTCTTCTGAAATTGAAGCATCTATATAATGAGATTGTGAGTTCCTCTCATAATAGGATCGGGTGAAGCAGAATATAGAATACCATCCATGACATGTTGACGGAAAGAATGCCAGGGGAGCTCAGCCAGCACATTAAGCAACAGTAGCTAATGCAGCACGTGTACTCTAATTCGAGCCTTTGGACAAATTTGTGAAGCCTATAATTTATTAGGACTGTTCTCAGAAAGTGTTTTCTACAGTTATTATTCAGTTACTGTTGTATTATACTCATGCTTGCAAATCTTGAGATGTCCTCTTGCTGCTGTGCAAATTACGACTTTCTGAACAGTAGCGGGTGGTTAATGATTGGGGGCCGAGTGGGCTAAGTGCACACCAGCTCGTCATGTGCATGAGCATGTGGAGCGAAAGCTTGTGCAGCAGAACACAGAAATCTTGGCACAGATACCCACCCCTTTCGTTCTGGATGCGGCTCGTACTGGCGTGTGGTCGTGTATCACTACTGCGTGGTGCACGCTGAAGATGCCATGCAGGCAGTTTTACTGAACTGACTAAATTGCTGGATCTATAGCGTAAGCCAGTGTTGCCCTTCAATGGCAGATCAAACTCACGCCGTATAAGCACCAACATCAAATTCACTTTTCTTTTTTACAGTTGTGGAATCCGATGAGGACGAGAAGGAGGAGGAAGACGACGAAGAAGACAGGCCGAGCACCGCCAGGGACACGCCTGCTGGCATTGTTGTTAGGAGAAACCTTGTTAACGAAGTATTCAAGTGAAAGCTTATGGAAGCACTAAAGCGATCACTGGGTGTAGATGACACTTACTGATCTCCGACGATTTTCTGGATCACGCATCACCACTTCGGGGGTGAAGCCACTGGAGGTTCTCAATAGACCCTTTTCGAAAATCCCAAAAGCCCGCGCGCGCGAGAAATAATGGAAGTTTTGGTATGCCCCTCCTCCAACTACCACGTGACCATGTTGCATACGCGAGCAGGCGCAGGTTACCACGGCAACAACTTTTGAGCAGTTGAGTCGGGTGAGCGACGAGCCAACGGCTTCCCCATTCTTATCCCTCCCTTTTGTGCTGGCTCTGTCGTCTGCTGCACCAACGCTTTGTTGAACCTGCCACGGTTGCGGTGAAAAATAATTGGATTCGGTGACACTGCAATACGTGAAGGTAAATTACGACGAATAGCATATTCAAATAAGTTTACCCGTCGCAATGCCTTTAGGCTGCCGCAGATACGGTACACTGCCAACAACGTTCAATTTGGCAGATGGGCGAGATGGCAGATGGCTGCAACGGCTGCTGCCGGAACATGCGCGCAGTTGTGGAGGCGCACCGCGAAAGCACGTTTGTGAAGCCTATAATTTATTAGCAATTCTTGGAAACTAGCCACTGGAAATGCAGTGGCTAGTTTCCAAGAACATTATGAAACTTTTCAATCATGACGGTGATGAAGCTCAAAATGGGTTTTTCCATGGATGTTCACACTAGTCTTCACGGCACTACACCCGGCTGACTTTTGCATGGCATAAGACGGCCGATTGAGAACTTCCGGTGGATTCACCTGCGCTACAAGGAGAAAGAAGCGATCCAGAAAATCATCGTAGAGATCAGCGGTGACACCAGAAACTTCGTGTAATAAAGAAACAATGTATTGCTGTTCTATACAAGTGCCTTTTTATTCATATTTTGGAACAATTTCTCCGTTCTGAAAAAATACATTAAGTTTGTAAGCTTTTAGAGCATGCATCTGTTCGTGCAGCTCCACAAGCCTATAAAAGCGGGCTGTGATAGCCTGTTGTCCCTCAATGATCTTTTGTGTGGGGTCTTCCTTGATCCCTGCAGACGACGGAAAAGATGTTTGCACGGTTCAAAGCGGTCACACCACTGCATTGTCACATTTCTATTATATAGCTATGAAACCAGCGCCACGCGCAAATCACATAGCTGCTGTTGGAGATTTGTGTTTGTCCTTTGTCCCCTTCAGGGAATATTTATTGGTTCTTATTATCCAGCTTGCCTGCACCCCTGCACTTATTGCATTAACTATGCAGGCCATATCTAACTACAGGAAGCATGCACAAATGATCATCACAAGTTGCTAATGAGAGAACTTACACCTTAATAGTTATAAGCAGCACAAATTTCTACTCTGTTCCTTTTGACAGTGGAGATTTTTTTTTTATGGACTTGAACACTTGTTTCGATCAGATGCTGCAACATATCTATTCTGGTTCTGCATTAAGTGTTATGTTTGTATTGCTGCATGGTGTGGTCTGCATCTAGCAGCATTTAGGATTGCTACTCACTTTCTTGGCGTGACTTCGGATTTCCCAAAGAGTGGGCCAACATATCACCCACTTCTGGTTGGCCACTCGTGCTCGCTTCTTGGCTATCTAAATAGAAAAGCCAACAGCCTTGAGTACCGAAATGTTTGCTGTTAGGAAATACAGGCTCTGCGTGGAAAAAATGCTCACTAACACAGGACTGAGAGATTGCAGGAAGTTGTACCAACTAAGCTTGATTGCTCAACCAGCAACACCTGCACCTGGCGGCCACCGTATTCGTTGACTACCAACCAGGTTGAATGACCGAAAAAGTTGTGATTAGTTAATGTAATTATAACCGTTATAAGTAATGTTATGATTGCTATGGTAGAAAACCGTGGACCTGCCTGCCGTTATGGTGGTGCCTTAAACAAGATCCAGAAATGCACTGTACGGATCCAGCAAACAGTGTTTGGGAAGACAGTAAGGTACTGCTTGTCCATACAATGTGGGTCTCAGTCCAAATCACTTGGATAATCAGCTATCCGATTGATAATTCAAAACTGGAAGTTACGGTGATTGCTTGAAGAGCAGTAATGAAGAGGAACATTAACCATGATACTAATCAGCCCACATTATTAACTCACCAAGTGAGGGAACTGGCCTTGCTGAGCTCGGCCTGGCAGGAGCACCTTAAAAATTTGTATCTAAAGATTAGTTTGACCAAGAAAAGCAACAAACGTGACAGGTACATACTAGGCGGGTACATACAAATTAACTGGTAGTTTGCTTGGACGGCACTATTATTTTATATTTTGCAATGGAAGTAGAACTCTTGCTAACTCACCAACTGAGGGAACTGGCTTTGCTGAGCTCGGCCTGACAGAAGTACCTTGAAAATTTGTATTTAAAAATTAGTTTGACCAAGAAAAGCAACAAACATGACACGAACATGCTAGGCTACAAATAATGTTTTGACAACATAATTCTAGGCAAACCATTAATGAAGAAAGGTAGTGTTTAATCCAGGCTTGTGCAAACCTACCCGAGAGTGGCAGGGAGAAGGGCACACCCACAAACACCTCTTGAATCGGGGCAACGCCAATGTCAAAGGAGCCTGGAATGCCCTCCACCGACTCCACGTTGAGCAGCCCTACGATACTCTCCTCCATCTCGTTGAGGGGCTCGTCGCCTACGCCGCCTCCAGTGGCACACTGACTTTTTTTCACGGCTGCACCTGATTGTGTCAGTATTAAATAACGTAGTAGACAAAGGAGGCTGCTGTAAGCGCGACTGCTCGATCAGCGGTTTTCATTGCCTAGCCAAGGCTTTTGGGCAACAGGTACGCCTTTCAAACGTGTGTAAGGATGACCTCAAACTTCGCGACATTTTTCTGTGTTGGACACCAGCTAATATCTCCAGCAAAATTGAACTGGTTTAACACTGTTAGTTGTCACTACACGCTTGCTAAAACCTCCTTCGTTGCTAACAGAAGGCGGGAACCTTCCGCAGTGTATGACAGCATAAAATAAATGTTCGCAAAAGAATGCATGTAGCTAAGTCATCTCCGCCAGCGCGTCTAATGTCAACAACATTATTAATAGCACTATTGTGAAGGAGTAAAATGTGCTCGTGCATTGACTCAACGCTAGCGCCGAACATTTTGCCTTTTACACCAGTACAAAGCATATCGTATCATTTAAATTCGCGAACTCCAAAACTTGAGGATTGACTTACCTCGCTTCTTGTTGATGCTCTTGACATCGACCCATTTCTTTTTTATGTCGGCCACTTCCCTTCGGATGCCGGAAACTGCGAACACATCGCGAGTAATTTGTTCCTAAGCCCGCTGCTTGGCAATCGAGCCATGCGCGCTGTTCCCTTTTCCCTCAATCGCCACTTTGCGCTGCTCGTATCCGTCTACCAGAGCCGACAGCTCGTTGTCCGAACAATTGGCCTTTCGGCTCGTTTTGGCAGGTGGTGGAGACGCCATGAGATCTCAACTACACGTGGTACTTTCAAACCAAAAGTGCTATTGTCGTCAGAATCGCCATAGCAACACACCCCTCTCGCTTGTTCTCGTCGGTTACGAGACACCGGAAGCTTCTCTTTCTCTCGCTCCTCTCGCGCCTTCTGTCGTTCCCTAGTCGTTCCCTAGTTCGCAGCTAAGAACACGCTAAGAAGCCTTTTGAGCATACCGATTTCGGCTGATCTTACGAACTTCTTAAGTTACGAACTTCTTGGCTAAGATTTCGTAAGATAAGATGTTCTTTGAGAATCCGGCCTCTGACGTTTGGTGCGCATTGTTCGATATCATTTATAAATGATATAAACAACAGCGGCCCAAGTACAATCCCCTGGGGGACTCCAGTCACAATTCTTTTGGTTGCTGAGTTATAATTATTTATGCTAACAAACTGCGTCCGATATTCCAACTATGATTTAAAAATTTTAAGTTCAATTGCTCTGATGCCATGGGGCTCTAACTTTTGAATTAGCATGTTATGGTTAATTAAATCAAATGCCTTAGAAAAGTCAACATACACACGTAGAATAAGCTCTTTATCCTCGATGCTGAAGAACGCTCCCATCAACCAGTGCTTAGCGCGAGGTCGGCGCTATGCTTATAACGTTCCGTTGCATGTTTGAGGAGGCCTCTAGCTCAGTTGTTGCGCTCTCGTTCATCACCTACGTGTGGCATCGAGCAAAAAATGTCGTACTGCTGATCCTACCGTCCGGCCGGGGTTCGATTAACGCTGAGCTTCTCAGGGAATCTCACTGGTTTCGATTTTCTGTTCCTAGTAATGGTCATGTACGATTTGTTAGGACAAATATTTGGGTCATGGGGATATTTATACAGCGTGTAGTTGGTCAGCCATTAAAGTTGCGACGAGTCACACGCTGTAGATGAGCAATTTAGCCAGTGCAGTGCAACCGCTAGTCTGGGGTCTTTAACGTGCACCACGCAGTAGTGATACACGACCGCACGCCGGTACGATGCTCATCCAGATCGAAAGGGGCGGGGGGGGGGGGGGGGGGGGGGGGGGCTCGAACCCATGATCCCTGGTTTACGCAGCGCGAGCTTTCGCTCCACGCGCGTCGAGCTGGTTGTGCGCTTGAGCCCACTCGGCCGCCGATTCCCCCTTTACAAATATTGACTTCTATAGACCTTTCCAATGTTTACAAATCCACAGCTCAGCGTGCAATCTCCACAGCTCAGCACGCGCGTGTGCGTCGCTTCGGAAGGCGAGCAAACCACGCGCGATACGCACGAACACTGAAAATGAAACCGGCCAGCAGCCCTTTTCTGGAAAGGTCTATATACTCTATGGATGCGTATGCATTGCCAGACACGAGCTACGCATCCTTCACGTTGCAGTGGTCTGCGCCTAACGCTTTTTCGTTCCATTCGAACGTTACACTTTGCCATTAAAACTAGACCATAAACATATCCTGTGTTTCAAAAACGAGTTATGTCTTCCTCAGGGTAATTTGCACTAATGAGGTTTCGTGAAGGTAATAGAAAGGCTGCCCCCACCTACCCACCTGAGGCATATTCGCTAGTGTGGGACCGGCAACGCCCGTGATCAAGTTCTGCAAGCTATTTCCTTCAATTAGTATGTTAGTTTGTTTCCGTTGTAATTTTAAAGCTTCTTTTCAAGAATCTTTGTTCAATATTTTGCGAATAAGCTAGAGATATTGTCTCTCGGTATCAGCATTATTGGACGTCTTCCTGAATTGTCTTGAGAGCCCAGCTGTGGCCGCGAGTTGTTCCAAGTGTTTTGTTTTTTTCTGCATGCTCAAGTGCAATGTGCTTGCAAGAGACAGGAAAGCAGAGCAGAACGCATCATATGACCGGCAAACTCCGACGTCATTGCGTCTTGAGAGTCACAAGACGAAAGTCAGATTATCGAATACAAACTTTTCTGGGGCTGAAGGACTGTTCGTCGAATGACAATTCGTCACACGTCAACTGGTAGCAGAAGTATTGTTCACATAGGGCAATTCGTCATAGGGCAGTCCGTCAGTATGACAGTTTTTCAAACTATTAACAAGTATTTTTAATTTCTGTAGCATTAATGATGCTTATCGAGCATAGTTCTCCCAGGCGAGTACAGTTACCAGCTACCCCCTCCCTTGTTTTATCCCGATTCCTGCCCTGTGTTCGGTTGCTTGGCCCCAAGTTTGCAATTGGTTCAGCTTTAACCCTGGAGTCTGACGATCCCTAAGTCTGTAGATTGTTCAAGCGAACTTTCTTTCCAAGGTTTTTTAGGTTCCAAGATATTCAAACATTGACTCCGGTTCTTCGACAGGTTGTCCCATTGACGAATCGCCCTATGACGAACAATTCTCTTACGACCAACGACCCGTATCCCCTTTTCTAGAACCTATGGGCGATATTAGATTTATAGTTTTGCTGTTCAAGTCAGGTTTAATTTTCGAGGCCATGAATATAGTGACCTTCTTTAAGCCCTGAAAAATGTCCATCCGGCAACCTTTCTACAGAGTGCAGGGTGTGCACAAAAAAAAAAGTAAACTAAGAAAAAAATTATTTTCACCACGAGATTTCACTATGCATCGCCGAACGCTATACATCTCCGCCTAAACGTGGCGATAGTGGTGGCGACCAGGTCTCCAAGTTTCAGAACTTGTCGTAATCAAGTTCAAATGTTGTAAGCCTTTTTTTTTAAATTTTTAATAGGAAAACGGCGGCCGTCAAGGCCCACGATTACATGGAGCTGATTGGCGTTAACTTCCGGTATCGGGGAATCCTAGAGGAAAGCTCACCCAAGGAACAAAAAATCACCGGAAGTGAACTCAACGGAAAGAAACCTTGGTAGTTGTAGTACCACCAAGGCTTTATTCGCCTCTCACGCAGGTGGTACACCACGCAATAGAGTTAGCGAGATGCGATTTTTCACATTTTACTTGGACTTAGGTTCATTAGCTTAGAGTTTTTATCACATAAATTTGTGCCCCGAATGAGCAATTTCCTCCGCATCGTCAAAAGGCCGAAGGACTTTTCTCTGCATCGGACAGTTTCGCAGGGAGTTTTTCTGCGGTAAACTTATCTCCGGTGAGCTTTTCTCCGATGAGCTTTTCTCCAGTGAGCTTTTCTTCGGTGAGCTTTTCTCAAGTGAGCTTTTCTCCACCTCCCAAATCGGGTTCCGTTTTTCCATTGAAATTTCCAGAAAATGATATATAGCTTTTTGACAACGTATCGCTTAGTTCCGAAACGTTGGCATATGGTTGAGAAACTTGAGATCACTTGCGGCAACAAGCGTTCGGCGGTGCGTGATTTATTTTTGTAGAAACAAAAACACGGTAATATTTTTTCTGTGACACCCACGTACCTGAATGTCAAATCGCTGAGATATTTGGATGCATCTCAGTGTAAATTTCTTTCCGCAGATTCGGTGTTTTGCGGCATTTACTTCTGGTGTCGAGCTAAAATACGGTGTTTTTCGGGGCTTATGTTAAAGCAAACAGGACTCGGGATTCGGCCATGGGCTTCTCTAATCACCGGCGTAGAAGAACGCGTCCCGATTATACTCGGGAAAACGTCTGGGCACCGATAAGGCGACAAGACAAGAACACGAGATAGGGGATGTGGTTCCCCGCGCGCGAGTCGCTCGGGGCGTTGGGAGCCTCTTCTCGTTCGTTTCTCCCATTCCGGCCGCTGGAGTCGCCACCGAAACGCAACCAGCACCGTTCACGACCCGTGTTAAAAAAAGATGGCGGTCGATTGGGCGACTGACTTCGCCAACTCAGCCGAGCATTAGGCTTAGGACAGCGGGAGGCGATTTGCCATCCTGTTAGGCTGCTTTATTTGAGAGGTTGAACTAAATCATTTCGAGGACTTCTCATAATGATAACCGATCGTGAATGCTGTAAACTGCGCATGGTAGTAAATTTTTGTGATCAGTGGGCAGATTAGCTGCCGTGGCTACCGCGAGCATATAAAATGATTTGGTTCGACGGCACACAACGTGAACGATCGATCAGTTCAAGATGCCGGAGACACAACACATACCTTTACGGTCGTTCAGATGCTCTTTACTCTATCTAGCTTCTCTTTTCTTGAAATCGCGAACGGCAAATGTTGCGTTGGCCGTCTTGTTTATTTATTTATTTGTTTCAAGATACTGTTAACCCCTCTTGCGTTCATTACAGGAGAGGGTAAACAAAATGTACGGTAATAAACAGCAGCAGCAAAACGAGAACACCGCATACATCACAGGAGCGTGTAAAAATATACAGAAATAAAGAGCAGCAGGAAAACGAGAAACACCGCACCAACAAGTGTAATTTGCAATCTTATTACAAAGACAACAATATTAAACTAGAAAACAGCATGCACCACTCAATAGTAACAATGAATAAACAAG